GGTTTCCCCCCTGTCTGATCACCATGAAAAATGGCAGATCCACAACTCTACAGTTTCCAGAAGACCTTCCTAACTTCTGCACAGGTCTTAAACTAGATCATTATGCTTTACCAGGTTGGCAAGAAAAAATGCCTACCTTTTCCCTATCTTGCACTACATCTTATACTGTACCTCAGCACTGCCAGATGTCCCCTATCAGTGTTTGACAGCCTATCCCATGGTTCAAGCCCTGAGCCCCTACATACTCCTAATTGAGCTCACTCCCTAACAGGAGTATAGAGATCTTTTTTTTTTTTGGGGGGGGGGGGGTTCATTTGTGTTTTTGTTACCAGAGAGATTTATCTTTACTTATTTATAAGATATGTTTTATTGCTGACCCTGTGAGGTCTGCTGAGGTCTCATGCACCCCAGGATACCAGATATATAGTTACATAGTTAGTCTGGCTGAAAAAAGACAAAAGTCCATCCAGTTCAACCATAAAAAAAAAAGTTATAATCTTATACCCACAGTTGATCCAGAGGAAGGGAAAAAACCCAGCAAAGCAAGATCCAATTTGCTCCTGCTCGGAAAAAACAATTCCTTCCTGATCCCCCGAGAGGCAATTGGATATTCCCTGGATCAACTTTACCTATAAATGTTAGTATCCAGTTATATTCTGTGTATCTAAGAAACAATCCATGCCTGTTTTGAAGCAATCCACTGAGCTGGCCAGAACCAAGTCTTGAGGGAGTCTATTCCACACTTTCACAGCTCTCACTGTGAAGAAACCTTTTCATTGTTTGGAGATTACATTTCTTTTCTTCCAGACATAGAGTGCCCCCTTGTCCTCTATGATGATCTCAGGGTGAATAGCTCTACACTGAGTTCACTATATGAACCACTGATGTATTTATACATGTTGATCATATCCCCCCTTAATCTCCTCTTCTCAAGAGAGAATAAATTCAGTGCTTTCTTTTGTGGAAACACCCCCTACCCCATTTGGGGTCCAGGAATCTAAGACTCATATCTTTTTTTTGATCGTTTCATTTTTTCTTTTTTATTACTCTGGGACTTCTCGGCTTCCTGCACCCCGCTGGGTCCACTGCAGTGTTTTACATGGTGTAGCTAAGCTACAAGTACTTCACACTACCTGAATGATGTTATACATCCCTTCTTTTTCCTTCTCTGTCTTCTCTTTTCCCTTCTTCTTTGCCCCTTTCCTTTTCTGATTTTCAGATGCCTGTGGTTCTATTGGGTTAGAGGTTCTGCTCCTGTGCAACCACGGTGATTCTTCACTTAATTTCTTATAATGTTAGCGGCCTAAATACCTCAAGTAAACGCCACCACATCTTTAGAGAACTGAAATGCTCTCAATGCTCCTTAGCATTCTTACAGGAAACCCATCTCATGCATACAACCTCCACTAGACTTAATTCCCCCTGCTATCCTAAATGGATTTATAGCCTCTCTGATATCAATAATGCCAAAGGGGTGGCCATAAGTTTTCACATGAGCATTTCCTTTACACTTGAAAAAATGCAAGCAGATGATCATGGGAGATTCCTCTTTATCCAAGGTATGACAGGTAACACGCACTGCACCTTGGCAAATATATTGTCCCAATCACAACCAACCAACTTAATTTTCTCAAATCTTGACTAAATTGAAAGAATTTGCCTCATGAGCAGGGGCGGACTGACCATTTGGAAACTCGGGCAGTGTCCGAGGGCCTGGGGTCAGAAGGGGGCCCTATGATATGCCCCTGGTACCTTTTTCATAGGCTTATTTGAGTTTGGGCAAGGACACAGGGGCCCCATGATCCCCTATTGCCCCATGAGTTGTCAGTCCGCCCCTGCTCAGGAGTGATTATATTGGCCGCTGACATTAACATGCCTTTGGTTCCCCTATTAGATACCTCACAAGGCCACTATAAAATCTCTTATAAATGCCAATTCTACATTAAAAAATGTTTACATACAGCTCAAAACCGTCGATGTTTGGAAGATTTTTCACCCCAAAGTACAGGATTATTCTTACTATTTAAAAACACATGATTTTTACTCTGGTATAGATGCTATCGTTTTGGACCACTTCCACTTTCCATAGATATGCTCAGCCTTGATGGGAGTAACTTCTGTTTTAGACCATGCCCTGGTTTTCAATTCCCTTCTTTACCCCCCTCCAATCCAATTGGAAGCTAAACAACTTTCTTCTATCGATCCAATTGATTTTGCCTCTTTATCCAATGACTTGACCCAATATTTTGCTGAAAATGTGTTGTTGGATGCTATATCCATCAGTTGTTTGGGAGGCTCACAAAGCTACCAAGAGAGGTAAATTGATTGAATTAGGGTCAAGAAAGAATGTCACTGAAAATCTACAGACCTGCTCCGACAGGTTGCAGATCTTGAAAAATCACATAGATACTCCCTCCTTAAATCTACTTTATTGACTCTGACACAGAAAATAGAGGAACTTAATTCCCTATTGGAAATGGATTTTAAACAACAGTATCAGATGGTCTCTCAGAAAGTACATGAATGGGGCAATAAACCTGGTAGAATGTTAGCACGGTCATCTTTATGTGACTGAGCTCTTGTAGCTGACCTACTACGGTCTATTAAGGCCTTCTCGCATTGCCCGTTGGGAACATATTCTATGGTCCATGAGCAATCCCAGAACAAGCCTTCTCACTCTGACTCAATGTTTATATTTTGGCTCTGTGGTGCTGTTACTGTGTGACCATGCCATACCTTGACACACATCCTGCCCAAGGTGTCTCTTCATGTAGGAAAAGAAAACGGCCTCTTTTGTATTTAAAATTAAAACCACTACCAGGGATTTCGTTCATATCACCCCTCTCATCACACAAGCTTTGCAAGCATTTTACACCAATCTCTACAATGTCTGGGATGATTTAGCCCACCTTACACCAGATGAAAAGAGGAAAAAGATTATCTCAAACAAGCTCACCTACCCAAGCCTTCTTATAAATTTCTATAAACAAGTTAGAAGCTGACTTTACTGAAGAGGAATTCCATGCAGCATTGAAATCCACCCCAATGTGGCTTCATCCCAGGCCAGAGACAACTCCCTTAGGACTTTATTAGGACCCTAATTTCTTTTTATCAGAAGGTGCTCCCAACCCACCCAGCTACTTTCCACCGATGCTGAGAAAACATTCAACAGGGTGGATTGGGACTAGCTAATGACCATCTTAAAATTTTTTGGCCTTGGTCCCAAGGTGCTGCACAGAATCACTTTCCTCTATGCAAATCCTTCTGCCCGAATATGCATTAAGGGATCGTTAAGGGATCATTAAGAGTGATCCCTTCACACTGAACAATGGTACAAGACAAGGCTGCCCATTATCATCTTTTTGTTTGCAATTACACTGGAACCCTTTTCTCTCTACTATCAGGAACAATTCTAGCATACATGGTATCACTAGAGAATATGACCCATAAATTCGCTGCTTATGCAGATTGCATCTTATTTTATGTCCAACAACCATGGATTACTTTACTGAATCAAATGGCCTCCCTTCACACATTCCAATCTGTGTTCAACTTCAAAATCAATATGTCTAAATCGAAGATTCTTAACTTATAAATCCAGCCGTCAGAGATCACAGTACTTAAAACCCAATATCCTTTTCACTGGCAACCTTCTACTCAAATATTTGGGAATATACCTGTTAAGAGAACCAGAGAGCACACAGAGACAGATTGCACAGAACCCAACGTGCTTTTATTGGGGAGGTTTTTGGGGCACAGACAACAGTTCCTTTAGTCCACAGATCCACACCAGACACAGCAACACAGTATAGTTCTCTGGAAGGCAATATGGAACAACAGGGGTATTGTAATCCACAGGGTTAATCCACACAGGAGGCTCCAGGCAGGGATGGGTTAAGTCCAGGCAGGTTCACGGAGAACAAGGGGTTATGTCCAGGCAGGTCATAGATCCAGCCAGGCAGATTCACAGGGACAGCAGAAGATTCCTCCACAGTGCAGGGATTCCAGGCAGCACAGACAGTCCGGGAGATGAGTAGGAGGACGGGGGATTTTCGGATGAGAGAAGCTGGCCCTCAGCACAGCCTTCCCTCACACACAGAGCCAGGAGAACACATAGAGGTTTTTCTGCTCACCCTTAAGTATAGAGCTGGTAACCGGATACTTCCTATCAGGTTAATAAGTATAAATATAAAGTGCAGCGCTCTCCCTAAAACTGATTACAATAAATAAATTAATAAAATAGTGCACACTTAACTAAAATGTTCTACATAAAATACACCCTACTGAACATATGTAAAAAAATAGTGCATATACAAATATGCACATAAACTAAGATAGTGCAAACCATGTGCTTCAAAGTGAGAATAAAGTGCAATTGGAGATAAAATAAAAGTGCAATAAAATCACTCCAATCATCTATTATACATAATAAAAAATAAAAAAGTGTCCAAATGCATCAAAAACTAGCAATCTTCATGCATGTGTCACACGTGTCCACACTGTGTGAATCCAAACTTTGGCCGTGATGGCTCCTCACCTCCTTGCCCAGACCCCACAGGGTCAGCTCGCTCAACAACAGGACACCCTTTAGATGACTCGCCCGGACCTTCCTCGCCTCTTACACTCTAATAGCGATCTCCTCCTCAGTTAATATGCAAATGAAAACTCACATAGTGTAATCCTGTTTATTCAATCAGTAGATATAAGATAAAAATTGCCCACTCACATTTAGAATCGTCTTGTAACAAGCCTTCAGTACCCCATGCTATGAATCTCCTGCATGGGTATATGTATACAGGGGTTTCAAATATGGCCGCCACGCCGGAAATGACGTCACCGCGCTCCCAGAGAATCCTCCTCGCGTTCCGACGCGTAACCCTGAGGAAGTCACGTGTTACCGTGACGCAACGCTCCCAGGTTCTATGGACAGAGGTTTTAGGCAATGGTTTCTGGATTCCACACCACTGCCATACCATGTTCTTCAGAATACAACCATTACACTCTTACAGGCCTTCTGTGGCTCATCATGTCCTACTTTTATGGATCACTATGGTCTATATGGGACTTGACTCCAAGTGAGGCCATCCTCAGGCCACGAGATTATCCACTGCACTGTGTCTCACAGTTATACAAGTCACTTCTCACATTGCAAGGCCCACATTACCCAAATTATCTCTCCCACTAAGAAATGGATATACAATCCTCCCTCACGGATATACAAAAAAGATAAAATAATGCAGCGCTCTCATGTATCATCTCTGTCTTCTAAAATTCAATAAGTGAATTTCAAACTCCTCACATGTTGGCATCATACATCAACCATGCTTCATGCCATGATCCCGTCCCCTATGTTGGCCGGACTATGGCAACCAAGCAAGCTCACATTTGGGTGGGAATTCATAATTCACATGATCTCTGTTATACAAGACGTTTATCTTTACTGTGAACTCTGGACAGTAGTATTGCAGCTAAATCTTTAATTCCCATATATTGGGGACGATATATGTCTTTTGGAGAAATTAACATATATAGCCAGGGGGACTATTTCCAAACACTCTAGTACAGGGGTCCTCAAACTACGGCTCGCGGGCCACATGCGGTACGCCGAGGACATTTATCCGGCCCGCCGGCAGGGGCGTATTTGCCGCGAGGAAGGGACACTAAGTACAGGGGCGGGCAGGGGGCTTCTGTATCTAACCTGGCTCCGTGTCCCAGTCCCACAGTGATCCAGTCCAGGAAGCACTGCTCTTTCATTCACTCCGGCCACTCCCTCAGTCGATGTTTGTGCTGTCACTCGGCTCCGCCTCCTCACCGGTGATCGGGCGCCAGAACTGTAGCTCAGGAAAGGCACACAGGCGGCCAAACAACTGTGAGGAGGCGGAGCCAAGTGGCCCCGCGAACATCGAGTGAGGGAGAGGCCGGAGTGAAGGACAGCTGACAGGTAAGTGTGCCATGCAGATGGCGCTGCTGCAACCAGGTATGCTGGCTGCAGCAGCACCATGCTGGAACAAGGGTCAGCAAGTTAAGTGTCGCTGGTGTCAGTGAGAGGAATAGTGCCCCATCATTGGTGTCACTGATTCCTCCCACTGACACCAATGTTGGGACACTATTCCCCCCCACTGACACCAATGACGGGGCACTATTCCCCCCCACTGACACCAATGACGTACTATTCCTCCCACTGACACCAATGATGGGGCACTATTCTTCCCACTGACACCAATGTTGGGACGCTATCCCCTTCCCCCACTGACACCAATGATGGGGCACTATTCCTCCCCCCAACTGACACCAACAATGGGGCACTATTTCTCCCGCCACTGACACTAATGATGGGACACTATTCCTCCCACTGACACCAATGATGGGGCACTATTCCTCCCACTGACACCAATGATGGGGCACTATTCCTCCCACTGACACCAATGACGGGGCACGATTCTTCCCACTGACACCAATGATGGGGCACGATTCCTCCCACTGACACCAATGATGGGGCATGTTTCTTCCCACTGACACCAATGATGGGGCACGTTTCTTCCCACTGACACCAATGATGGGGCACGTTTCTTCCCACTGACACCAATGATGGGGCACTATTCCTCCCACTGACACCAATGATGGGGCACTATTCCTCCCACTGACACTAATGATGGGGCATGATTCTTCCCACTGACACCAATGATGGGGCACAATTCCTTCCATTGACACCAATGATGGGGCACTATTTCGCTCCATAAGACACACTTGGGGGGAAATGTCTGTGCGTCTTATGGAGCCGCCGTTGTATGTCCGCAGTCTCTGGTCATCTCCTGTACTGTGTCTGCAGTCTCTGGTCATCTCCTGTACTGTGTCCGCAGTCTCTGGTCATCTCCTGTACTGTGTCCGCATTTGTTCATAGTTTTTTTTTTTTTTTAAACTATAGTCCGGGCCTCCAACGGTCTGAGGGACAGTGAACTGGCCCCGTGTTTAAAAAGTTTGAGGACCCCTGCTCTAGAATATAGGTTGTTGGTTCGAGTTTAAATTATCTACTCTATACCTGGATGCTATTCCCTGGTCCCTGACTTGCTGATATCTCATTTGCCTATTATTATTATTCCAGAATAGATCTACTCTCTCTATACAATAATTTTTTTTTTTTTTTTTTTTTTATAAATATTTATTAATTTTTCAAATCATATACAAAAACATTTCAACATTTCTATTAAACTCGTTGTCTAAAAAACATTATTTTCTCCTCATAATTTTTTTATATATAACTTCCATTTTTTACCATCCCCCTCGCCCAAGAACCTCCCCCCCCATCCTCTTAACCCCTCCCTCCCCCCATACTCCACCTTTTCTCTTCTCGGATTAAGTCCATATTATTCTGTTATTCCTAAACCCGTTTCTAAACCTCTTCCTGGGAAATTATCTCATCATATATTTTTCCTTTTCTCTGTATTCTTCCCAGCCTTTCCATTTTTTATTGTACAACTCCAACTTGTCCTCATGCGTATAAAACAATTTTTCTGTCTCTGAGATCTGGTTTACTCTACCCCTCCAATCCTCCTCAGTTGGCACCTCTTTTCTTCCAAAACCTGGGAATCAGACTCTTTGCTGAGGTCAAATAATACCATATCCCCAAACTCTCATATGCTTTCACTGAGAGTTCTGAGATATGGAGGAGACATAATTCTGGATCCAATCCTATTTTGATTTTAGTGATTTTCCCTATCAAATACACTATCCTCCGCCAGAACACCTGTATTTCTGGACACTCCCACCACATATGATACCACGTGCCCACCTCTCCACAACCTCTCCAACACGTCTGTGAAATTTCCATATTCATCTTGTGCTCCACATTAGGGGTAATATGCCATCTATTCAAACACTTATAATTTATTTCTACTTCCCGCATGCTAATATTATCGTGAATTAGTGTAAGCATTTTCCTCTGTTCCTCCTCCTCTATCTTTCTTCCCATATCTCTTTCTCATTTCTCTATGTGAATTAATTTTGTGTCTGTGTCAAGATCCATTAATATCTTATGTATTTTTGCCATTCCATGTCTACCATTTCTCCGTGACTCAAATATTCTCTCAAATGGATTCCAGTCTTTTCTAGTTCTTATGGGCTTTGGAAGGCTCTCAAAAAAATACTTCAGTTGGTAATATCTTAGTCTATCCATCTTATTAAAGACTTCTCCCTTTCTTTCCTCCAAATCTTTGTATGACCCAATTTCCTCTCCTACCATTATATCGCTCAGTTGCGCCTCCTGTTTTATAATCCATTTCCCTGCTATGTTATCCTTACCTGGGGTGAAGAATTTTGTATTCCTAAGTGGTATTATTTGGGAATTATAAACCCACCCCTTTTGTCTGTGTAATAAATCCCATTCTTTTAAAACATTAAGAGTGTATATACTAGTGCTCTCCTCTAATTCCCTATATTGTGCGGGTAACCAAATACTTTTACTTAAACTTATTCCACTCAGTGCTTTCTCGATTTCAACCCAACTTTTATCCGGATTATGAATCCAGTTGAATATTCTCGCAATAAAGCCCGCTTTATAATATCTCCTGCAGTCTGGTACCCCCAGTCCTCCTCTTTCTTTACTTCTAGTCAACAGTTCATAGCTTATTCTAGGCTTTTTATTCCTCCATATGCATTTTATTATCATTTTCCTAAGTTCTTTAAAGTATGCCTCTGGGAGTTTAATTGGGATCATTTGGAATTTGTATAATACTTTGGGGACAATTACCATCTTTATCAAGTTTATGCGACCAATCCACGATGGGTTTCCATTTCCCACTTTCCTCAATTCCTCAATCTCATTTAATAGTGCTATGTAATTGGCTTTATATAAGATCTTAATTGAGGCTGATAATTGTATTCCTAGATATTTCAATTCTTTATCTCTCCAGAGGAACGGAAATTCCTCTTGTAATTTTTCCTTTTCGCTGTTTTTAAGGTTTATATTTAAGATTTCTGTCTTTGTCGGTTTAATTTTCAGGTTCGACAGTTCTCCATACTCCCTCAGTGCTTTCATTAAGTTTGGAAGTGATGTTCTAGGGTTTCCAACGTAAAACATCAAATTATCCGCATAAGCCACTACCTTATGTTCTCTATCTCCTATCTTTATTCCTTTTATGTCTATGTTCTTCCTAATCGTGGACAATAAGGGTTCCAATGATAGCACATACAACAATGGCGACAGTGGACATCCCTGTCTTGTACCGTTTGACATTTTAAAATACTCCGATCTTCCTCCATTTACCAATATGGTAGCGGTAGGGCTTCTGTATAACTCTCCAATCCACCCTCTCATTCTATTTCCAATTCCTAACATTTCCAGGGTATCCATCATAAAGCCCCAACTCAGCCTGTCGAATGCCTTCTCAGCGTCTATCGACATTAGTATCATTGGGGCTTTCCCTTTTTTACCCTCCTGTATAAGCAACAGTGATCTCAGAGCATTATCTCTACCCTCTCTTCCTGAGACAAATCCCACCTGATCTCTATGTATCCATTCCGGCATCAACTTTTTCAGTCTGTTTGCCAAAACCTTTGCAAATATTTTGATGTCTACATTTAGCAGCGCTATTGGTCGATAGCTCGCACATTGCGAGGGATCTTTATCTTCCTTCTGTATTAATACTATATTAGCCTGTAAAGATTCTCTCCTTATCTCTATCCCCTTCCCCAAGGCGTTCATGTAGATCTTCATCTTGGGTATTAAAAGCTCTTTATATTTTTTTTAGTATTTGACCGTATATCCATCCGGACCCGGACTTTTCCCTCCCGCCATGCCTTTTACCGCTGTTTTTATTTCCTCTGCCGTAATTTCTGCTTCTAGAGAATCGAGTTGTATTTCTCTTAATTTCGGTAGGCCTGCATCCTCTAGGGATGTCCTTTTTTTTTCCCTCTATTTACTGTTTCCGTTTTCTCGAACGTGTCCTGAGGTATGATATTATACAGCTCATTATAATACTCTTTAAATGTACTAGCAATATCCTTGGTTGAGTGTACAAATTCCCCCTTGGGATTTCTTATTTTCTCAATATAATTTTTATTTTTCTTCTTTCTTAAAGTTCTCATTAAATACTTTCCCGGCCTATCTCCCCACCTATACCTTTCACATGTTATTTTTATTAAAGACTCTTCTTTTTTCCTCCTCCATTACATTCTCTAACTCTTCTTTCTTCTTCATTAACAACTGCATTGTCTCCTTAGATCTTTCCCTTTTATGCACTTGTTCAAGATCGTATATTTAATTTATTAATCTATCTATCCTCTCTCTCCTTTCTTTTTTGTCCCCAATGCAATGAGTAGACCTCTAATGTAGGCTTTATGTGCTTCCCACACCGTTGCAACCGACACATCCTCCGTTTCGTTCTCTTCAAAAAACCATTCAATTTCCCTCTTAATTCTCAGATCGAACTCTTCATCTGTGAGAAGAGCCTCATTCATCCGCCATACATACCCTTCTCTCCCTTCTCTACCCCATCTTAACTTCATTGCAACTGGGGCATGATCTGACAGGGTGCTACCTTCAATTTTTACTTCCTCCACCCACTCTATCATCCGATGTTCCACTAACATGTAATCTAATCTAGAATATGTCTTATGTACATGCGAAAAGAAAGTATAATCTCTCTCCTTCATATTCCTGATTCTCCAGATGTCCACCAGTTGACACTCATGCAACATTTTCTTTAACATTCTCAAGGACTTGCTTTCCTCCCTCCTCACACAGGAATTAGTGTCAATCTGCGGATCCATACAGATGTTAAAGTCTACTGCTACTATCATACACCCCCTTTTGAAATCCATTAATCTCTTCAACACTTCTCTCATAAACATCTCCGGCCTCTTATTTGGACTGTATATGTTTGCTATTGTACACTCAGTTCCCCGTAATTTACCTCTCAAAAACAAAAACCTTCCCTCCAAATCTGTTAATCTCTCCTCCACCTCAAACCTTATATCTTTTGCAAAGCCTATAGCAACTCCTTTTGCTCTTTTAATTGGTGAGTCCGCATAAAACCATGTTGGAAAGTGTCTAGTCCTCAATCTAACCTTTGATTCTATCTCTAAGTGTGTTTCCTGCAGGAATACTACTGAGGATTTTCTGTGATGTAGTTCTTTGAAAAGTCTGAATCTCTTTCCTGGGCAATTTAACCCCTTTACGTTATAGGTTATATATTGAATTTCTTCCATCTTACTTTTTTTCCTACGGGTTTATCCTTCCTCTTCCATCCTTCTCTTATCTTGCAGAGTATTACTACCCCCCTACCCTTTACCTTTCCCATGTCCCTACCTCCCTTTTCCACCAGCCCCTTCCACCCCCCCTCCCCTCACCTCCCCCCCCCCCCCCCAGGCCTCCTTTGCCTTTGGATCATAATCCACTTCTGATCCCTATCTTAGGGGTTCGGCTCTGCCTATGACCTCTCACTTTCCCACCCTCCTCCCTGGTGTCCCTTTATCCATTGACTCTCTATTTCCTTTTCTGACTAGCTGCCACTTTCCTTCCCCAGGAGCGTATAACTCTCCTTCCTCTACTTCCCAGCCCAGTATATCTGGTCTCTGCAGTCCAAATTTATCACAGAAATCTTCCATATCTTCCGGAAATCTTAAAATTGCTGTAATTCCATCCCTCCAACTGATTCAGCTCATTGCACGACCCCATCTATATTTCACATTATGTTTTTTCAACACTTCTAATAGGGGTTTCAATGATCTTTTCCTTCTCAGAGTCTCTGCTGTTAAATCCGCAAACATTTGAATGTTTTTCCCTCCATATACAATACTTGGTCTTCCTTTAATCTTTTTCCATATTTCTTCTTTATCTCCATAGTTATGGAATTTAACAATTACCGTATTTTTCGCTCCATAAGACGCACCTGACCATAAG